CCCCCCCCCCCCCCCCCACACCCACCTCACACCCACACCCATACCCATACCCACACCCATATCCACGCCCACACCCTTTTCAATCGAAATTCTGCATTTTGATTTTTCAGTATGTATCTCAAATGGAGTGAAGAATTTACTAAAACAATAATAACTCGACTCGAGAAGTTTACAGAGGCAAACCGTTCTAGAATTTTATTCGTTCCAACATGGCATCTTTGTAGGTACAATATAAGCTCAAAAGGTAGATAGAAATTCTAATGATTCCCTTTTTAGTTATGGCAAATAATTTTTATAGGCATTGTTAGAAGAATGTGAATGTACAGTATGGCATGTGAGTGTGGAGTGTGAGTATGACTTCTGTCTTCTATTCGCCTACACTCACATCCTCTTCTACATTTACTTAGTTGATATTCTTCTTTTCAATCATTTTATGTTCAACTAGCAACACCTTTCTCAGCATGTTAGAGAACGTTGCTATAAACAAAACATGAATATGCTAAGTTTCTTTTACGTCATTACTCATTGATTATCAGTGTAAACATAAACAAATTAATGACACGTTGGATGTTTCCCCTGTGACGAACGGAAAAAATGAATCACTATTGCGTAAAAGATAAATCATATTGCGTCAGTGGCAACAGGAGAGTAGATTTCCAGAAAACTCGTGATGCAATTCGAAAAGGTCACGAGTGCAATATTTGTAAGCAGTCATGACTCATTTGTCTGATTGTCGAAACTGTATCAGATAAATGAATAATTGAATTTATTTCCATTTTAATATTTAAATAGGCGAAATAAAATGAAAACATGTTGAGATTGGCATTCAGAAGATTCGAAAACTATTTCATTGTAAAAAAATAACTCTGAATACTTGTAACAATCATTGTTATATTCAACGTCAGGTGAGATCTACTTTATTCAATAATAATATACTATCGTTTGTTTATCATTAACGTCAGATGTATCCAATGAAACAGTATTTTTTTTCTCTTTCTGCCGCCTACCCTTGAAAATTTCCAACTATGACAATAATGTATGTATAATATATTGGATGTTTCAATCGCAGAACATTTGTTTTTCATCTATCTATGGTTTACTGCAATAAGGTAGAAGTATTAAATATCTATATAAGAAGTGTAGCTGTTTTTAAATCGTTCAATTCAATTTTAATCAAGT